GGGGGGGGGGGGGGGGGGTGTTTATGAATTGTACCAAATTGTTGAATTAGAAGTGGGCAATTAATTAAAAAATTAATAAAGAATCACGCGGTTTCCGGGACTTTCTTTACTAATTTCAGCTCCTAATTCAAAAGGGTTATCGTTAAATTATGATTTATGCTAATTGTAAAGGGTACATGCACTAGCTAGCATGTGACGTCGTCATCGTGTTAAATTCTAATTGTTCTTTTGAAATGACCTATTTTTCGAGATTTTGAATCATGAATCGTTGTAAAAATGATTTGGATTTAATTGTCTCGTGTAACTATATGGCTCTGCACATTCTTATCCTCGACCATTTATTTATGATCTATCTGGAAAATAAAGAATAGTAAGAATGAGTGTAAAAATATTCAGTAAACAACCTACTTATAGGGTTGGGTTGAATTTTATCTCTGGTTCGATGTGCTTAAGACTATGTGTTTTGGTGGGCGCTAGAGTTAGCCAATTCCATGACTCGGTCATCTAGCCTTATCAAGTTCATACTTTCATTGAACCTCGTCACTCCTATTCTATGGGGTGTAAGACTTAAGGCAATTAATCTCTAATCTCTTTGATCCATCTAAGTCAATACACGATTAGCGTATGAGTTAAGGGTGCCCTCATCAAGTTTTGGGGCTGAGGGTGGATTTAACAAGCATGGATCAAGTCTCCATATTAGCTAACTCTCTTGTACGTGTCTACTAATCCCTCAGTTGCAAATAATAAGCTTCCTATTCTACATCATTCCTGGCTCTATATAGTGCAAGACAAACTCTCAATTAAGCACAACTGAAACTCCGTCATTAGTAGTATACCGGCTTTAAATGGGTGATGTTGCATTCCTCTCTAATAAGTAAACCTTCACCCCTTCACCCCTCGAGGAAAGTTCATGATCAGGAATTTTCCCTAATTAAGTAATCTAATCAATCTAATAAAGTAATCAGGGGTATTCCAACTTTCTACGTGCTTTATGGAGAAGCAAAATAGGAAAATTCTACTAATAACATAAACATGATAAAGTCATTCATACTTTGTCAGAGTCTAACAAATGTCCTTAAACCGAAATCAGTCATTCATACTTTGCTCGGTCTTAAAATGAGTCAGGAGTTAATAACCAACAAAAAAAAGTTCGTGAGAACTAGTCGAATATGCATTTTGTTGATTCAGAAAAATAAAAATTCGAAAATTTTTAGGGTTCTAAAGAGACTATTAAAAATTTTAATTTTAATAAAACAATAATATCAAGATTCGAAAATTCTTAGGGTTCTAAGGAGACGTATTAAAAAATTTAATTTTAATAAAGCAATAATATCAAATTTTCTTTTATAATAAATTAAGTTTGCAATTTCACTTTAATTATCAAGTAATTGTAATATATATGTGTGAAATTTCTAATCTAAAATATATTAATTAAAATTAATTTTTAATTCATTGACTCATTCATATACTTTGGACAATGCATGAACTTAATTAAATATTATTATTAATGAAACGAAGCATTCACTATTTAAAGTCATTAATAAAAAAAGTTGGAGCTAATAAATGAATTAAAATAAATATAACGCCAATTGTGCTTCTTCTTCTCTTTACTTTTGTACCCATTTACTCGATATTCATTTACGAGATTAGAGTTAGGGTGTTGTGGAGATACAAATGATACGAGGTTAGGGATAGAGACGAGGATTGTATTTTCTGTTCTCGCGCAATTTTTCATTCTATCTCCGCTTTTTTACATATAAAAAATAAAAATATTTATATTTGTGATAAATATTTTTTTTAGTATTTAATTTGTTTATCATTATATTTTCATGATAATTCAATATTTACATTTCAATTTTTATATTTTTATTATTCCTTGTAATAACAATTATTTTTATGAGTAACTTTTAAGAAAAATTATATTCAATATTTCAAGGAAGGTAGTAATATTATGACAATAAATTTGGTCACAAATTTATAATCTTTAAATTAATTTCTTTAGATTGTAATCCATTAAATAAAACATTTAAAAAAATATATTATTATTATTATTACTATTTGTATTCTAAAAATTGGATGATTTTCATAAAACATAAGATCTCACATGAATAAATAAGATAAAATAATAATAACAACAATAAATGTTTTTTAGAAAATAAAATTTTATATAATTTGTTATCTTATGTGGATGAAAAATAAAAAATAAAAGATTCAATCGAGAATTTATAATCAATTGTTTAAAAACAGTAAAGTTTGAAAGGAAAGTCCAAAAATGACATTTGAGGATGGAAATTTTATTAATTTTTTATTAATTATTTTTTCTCTCCTTCCAAAACTAGTTTTTAGCTTATAATTTTTTATAAAAATATATAAATGAATGTTTTATAAATAACATTATAATTTTATTAAAATAAAGAAATTTAATTAAATAGCTAAATTAACTGGAACTTTAAAGTTAATATTTGTGTTGGATTGTATTGAGTTGAAATTTTGTATAGATTAAAAAAATTTATAAATTAGGGTTTAGGGTTTAGGGTTTTAAATTTTAAAAAATTTTACTCAATCAAAAAATATATAAAAAACGTAAGAGGTAATGAAATAATGGAGTGGGGATATGAACAATAATTAATGTTGAATTAGAAGATGTGATGTTTGAGTAGAGTGGACTTACAAGCAATTAAATTATGACACTATTAAAAAAAAGTGTATCTAAAAGTCAACAATATTATATTGCCGGACACTATTGAATTATATTGCCTATAATTTTGTTGCATTCAATAATTATCATATATATATATATATTTTTTTTTTTACTAGGTTCAAATTTCTATTTAATCGGTTTCCACATCTGATCTGGCGAGCATTTTTTTAGTAGCTATTGATGTCGGACACTCGTTAGAAATAGCGACCCTCACGATAGTGATAAACATAATGATCGTTCACCTGTCTCAAGCTTACGTTTCCGTACTGTGGCGAAGAATAAAGGGTATCTCCAGATGCATACATGGTCCCAACATTTTTCCATTTTCATTATCATTTAATACAATCAGTCTTCATTCATATTATATCATTTTGTCATATCATTTCTCATATCACACCATAACTTATCGTATCAGAATATATCATAAACATATAAATTTATCACATATATCGTTTCATAACATATATTATATCATTTTCATATCATATCACAACATATATATATCCGTCATTCACATGTCATATCATAATCATATCGTTCTATTGTTTCCATATTCATATCCTAATCATATCATTTCCTAAACTTGTCATACTCTTATTGTCTTTGTACATCTCATAATTGTACCATTTCATGGACATACCTTAGCCATACCATTTCTCAAATGTATCCTAACCATATCGTTTCATTAACGTATTCTAGCCACATCGTTGCATAAACGTATCCTAGTCACATTGTTGCATGAACGTCTTCTAACCAACGTATCCTAACCATATCATTTTATCAATCTATCATAATCATATTTTTACATTATACATGGTCTAACCTATCATTTCATGAGCATATCTTAGTCATATTGTTACATCAAGATTAAATTTACCCCTTCCCATTCGATGAGTAATTGAAGTGCTGTAAGGTTGGTAGCTCATAATAATACTAACATAATCAATTTAGTTGATTTTTTTAAAAATATTCTAATTAATATTAAATATAAAAGAAGAAACATATATTTAATTTAAAGTTTCAAATTAATATTATATATATTAAATATAAAAGGAAAATATAATATATTAACATATGTCATGATATTTAAATTTGATTTAAATAAAGTATTATATCTTAATATATTCTAGATTTGACCTGTGCTGAGCTAAATAAGGGTATAGTTGGTGATCTACGGGCCATAGACCATTTAAGTTACTCCATGATCCATTTGTAATATCAACTCGATGGTTTCACCCAATATTAATAAGGTTGAAGTCAACTAAAAATGAAGAACATAGACAAAATGGATCGAATTGAACTAAATTAGACCGGTTCGCTCGAGCAACTTCGCCTCCCTCCACATGCCTCCACTTACCAACGTTCTTTTCCTTTTTTGTGTTTTTTTTTTCTCCAACAACAAACTTCATCTTCTAATGATCACGACTCTTCGATCAATACTATGCAAACAAGAGTCGACCTCAAGGTGAAGGGCCGAAAAAGGTAACAAAATAAAATCCTAATAAAAACTTTCAATTTCTTTACCTTGTAAAACCCCAACTTAATTAATCAAAACCTTTCAATAACCCTAAAACTGTGTTAACTTTGTTTCGATTCTCGGAGTTCTTCAACCCTTTCCCAACTTCGAACCAGCCAGCTATAATTACTGGTCTGACCTAGATAATTAGAAGTCAAATTAAATGTTAAAGGATTAAAATATATATACTCTATAAATAAAACACAAACAAAAAAAATTCCAATTTCCACCACAAATATAGTGCATGCAGAATCAAACAAAACTGACCACAGCAAAATGAAGTGTTTTAATTTATATGTCCTCTCGTTGTAATTAATTTCGTATGATTTTGTTACAAAAATGCACATAAAAGAATGTGAAGGAGAAAAAAAGAAAAAAAAAATTAATTACTGGGGTTTGCTTCACAAAAATTGATCAAGGGTCGGGCGTTGTTGAACCAAGTCCCACCTGCAACCATGGCGATGAATTCCCTCCAATCATGCTCGTATCGTTTAGCTCACTTAATTTCGCTAATTTCACCTTGCTGTCCGCCTCATCCTCCACATTATTATTGTTATTATTATTATTGTTATTATTATTATTATTATGAATAATACTATTATTCTTGGAGCAATTGTTTTCTTCTTCATTTTTGATGACGACCTTGTTTTCATTGTTGTTTTGGTGTTGTTGTTGTTGTCGCCGTCGTCGTTGTTCTCGTGAGTCATTTTCATCCACCTTATTGTTTTTACAAATCCACGACTGTAAGTAAATCTCTGTCGAAACCTCGAAGGCTGGGCGACGAACCTCGTCGGCCAGAGCTGGTAGGTTGAGATCAAGCTTAAGGTCGAGCGGGAGGACAACGGTTGAATTTGAATCAAAGGGAGGAGGAGGCACCCTGTGGTCATGAAATTGATGAATCTTTGCAATAGAAGGCGGAGGTGGGGCTTCGGCGGCAGCATTAGAGGTAATCCAATGACAACGTTTGTGACCACCCAATGCCTGGCCGGAAGAAAAAATTCTATGACAAATTGAACATTCATGTACTTTGGTTTTCCTCTTAGAACTGGAAGCCATGGTAGAACTCCCCAATTCGTATGAATTATTGTTGGGTTTAGTAGGAAAAAATGAATCCTCGAATACGTCATCGTTTTCACGTGGGTCGAGCTCCATATGGTCAAGCCGTGCGGCAAAGCAGCCCTTGACTTTCTTGTGGCTAGCCCGATGGCCTCCGAGGGCTTGGTGCGAGTTGAATACTTTCTTACACGCTTTGCATTCGAACATACCCTTAGGCGCAGCTGCTTTTGGCTTGTCTTGATCCGGAAGTCTATAAGATAGCGGCGGTATGAAATTTATGGGTTTTCTAATATTAGTGTGATTATTATTGTGGTGAAGAATAAGATGATGATCTTCCTTACTCGCGGAAGCACAGGATTCCTCAGCCTCGGCCTCGGCCTCGACCTCTACCTCCGCCTCGTCCTCCTCAAACATGGGCTCCACCGCGCCATTCGACAACATAATAAGACAATTAGCTAGGTCCTCATCTTCATTAGAAGCCGGAGACCCAACTTTCACTCTCAAAGATCGCTTCCTCTTCAACCAATTATTATTACTATGATTACCCGAACCTCTCCTCACCGCACCGCTACATTCATCGTCATCATCGTCGTCGTCATCATCGTCATCGGAGCAAGGCGGGGAAGAAAGAAGAGAGTCAAGGTCATCAGAGGTGGTGGTGCATTTACCATGTTCAAGAAAGGATTTCCAAGATAAGAATTCCTTGCCACAATTCTCGCACACGCGGCAAGTTTTAAGACGATTTGGGTTGGTTCGTAGGGCGTACATACGACGATTGGTGGGACCCAGATTGGATTTATTATGATGAGTGTCGTCCCAATCGTTAGAGACATGATCGTCGTCGTCAATTGTATGGGGAGAGGTGGAATCATCGGCTATGCCGTGAGCCCTCATGTGACCGCCCAAGGCTCTCCCACACCCAAATCCTTTTTTGCAGATTTTACAGAAATGCTTCAAGTTGGGCTTTTGAAGGTCGTGGTCCACAATGAAAGCTGCCATATACACTCTAAAAAAATGTGTATATATATATATATCTATATGTACGAAATTAAAAAAAAAAAAAGAAAAAGAAAAAGAAAAGAAGAATATATAGAGAAGGGGGGGGGGGAATGACGGAGTGGTAAATGAGGGGGTAAAAAGGAAGGAAATAGGGAGAGGCTGGGAAGAGTTGGGTTAGGTTAGTTGTGCTGTTGCAGTGAAAAACTAAAAAGGGGTTTGGGGTATGGTTAAAACAAAACGAAGGGTGGGAGTGAAATTAGTAATCCTAGTTTTTAGTTCAGAGGGAAATTAGTTTTTTTATTTATTTATTTATTTAAATTAATTAATTAATTAATTAATTTTAATTTTGGAGATAAAATTAATTTGTGGATTAGAGAGAGAGGGGAGGGGGTGAGCTTTGGATGAGTGAAAGCTGACAAGTGGGGGGTGGAGGAGAGAGAATGGACTTTTTCTTCCCTACCAACGGTGGCGCCGCCGCCACTCGTACACAACCACCACCGGACGCCTCCCTAACTTTAAAAAAAAATAATAATAATAATAAAAAAGGAAAATAGGAGAGTGAGGTAGTGAGTGAAAGCAGCTCAGACCAGTGGTTTTAACTGCCACACCTATTCATGTCGTATCCCTTCAATTACAAGCCAAGTAATACAATTAGCCCTTCTCTCTTTCTTGCACACGTTTTCCATGTTCTTTAAGGTTCAATTATACTCTCTAATCTTCACCCTTTTTTTTTTTTTTTTTTTTTAATTTTTAACTTAATATAAGTTCTTTAACACGTCCTTCAATGTTAATGGACTATTGAGAAGAAGTCTCGCATTAGCTTAATTAAATAAATAATCATAAGTAGTAAATCCGTGAGAGTGCATGCTTAAAGTAAACAATATCACTCTATTACGAAGATTCATGGTCCATAACATAGACCTAATTTTAGAGGCCACTCAAAAAAAAATTTAATTAAGACTCAGTTAGATAATTAGATTATTTAATTTTAAAAAATTTAAATGAATTAAGAAAAAGCTATTATGAATGTTAAAAATTCAAGGTTATATTCAATTAGATTTTTTTTTAATTCAGTGAAATATTCAAGAATAAGTAATTAAACATTTTTAAAAATGTAATTATTATTAATTAATTTTGTAATAGGGTTTTGAATTTTTTATTATATTTTATATTTTAGCTTTTATGAGTTTAATGTTTAGCTTACATATTGTCTTATATTCTTTCAAGATTATGTGAGTTAAAGTTGCAATAACGTGTTTAGTGATATAAGCATTAAATTAATGAAAATGAAAATAATATTTATTAAAAAAATCTTCATTTCTTAACCATTTATTATTTAGATATGTACCTTAGACTCTTCTCAGTTCTGAGTAGGGTTGGATGTGTGTTACTTCTCCACACACAACCCATGCACGCACACATGGACCCACCATGTGGGCTCGTATACATACCCCTACGCCTAACTTGGTCTGGCACAACACGTTAATGCGTCACCGGATGCCGCAGAAAAGAAAAGGGCCGCATGATATAATGGTGAATATAAATATCGAAGATACGCGTCTGCTAACATAATATAATGAACAAGCATCTTGATGCATATGATATACATACATGCTTGAAGTTTCACAAATTTTCGTGCATTAACATCATTCTCTTTTTCCCTTCATCCATGACATAGTACATATATGCATCATGTATACGGTAGTCATCACATAACTTTACATGGCAAGACATGACATGATACACATAGTATTTCATTTTAAAACCTTGAGGGAAAGTTGATAAGGGAAAACCCAAAAAAGACAATATCTCGTGGGTGCGCGCTTGAGTTGTTGTTCTTATGTGTTGGTCTTATGTGTTTAAAACGAAATACTGAAAATTTAAGAAAATAAAAAACAAATACAAAATTATTTAAATCAATTAAATGCAAGAAAACTTATTCAGACCTAAGACTAGTAATTTAAATATGAGTCTACCCATGCACATGTCACAGTCTCTACTTGTGATATCGTCGTCATCCACACATGCGCGCCTTACCTCTACTTGAAAAATGATGTGGCACACGGTCTAAGTATTTCGAAGAATACTCAGTAAGTAACCCCACTATACGGGGTCATGCTAAATACAATCACATGTAAATATGCTCTAGGGACCTATCTCTTTTTCATCTTATACTAGGGGTGGCCTCTAGTCCGGACTATTGTGGATGTGTAGTACTTCCTTACACACGATCCACACGTGTGAGTGTGAATCCCCAGGCGATTCGCACACCCCCCTGGACCCTCTCTTGTCAAGCTAGCTGTCTGTAGCGACGTCCGAAGGTCAACGGAACCCCTGGTATCATGCTCCCCATGAATACCCTCATCATCAAATTGTGCGCGTCCGCACTTATCATCTAAAGAGGAAGTATCTCTATGTTTATGTACACACAACATGCATGAGGTCCCTCTAATTCTCATCTTAACATCTCTTCTGACACCACCCTATTCTCATCTCTTTGTTACGCTTGGTAACGTTAGATATTTATATTAATATCATTTTCATACTCTTAGGGTTGTGTTCTAGATCGATTTATCGACTTGATGTAACATGACATTTATTATCATACAACATGCTTAATATGGAAAACATAATCATATTAGGGTAAGCGTCATGCAAGACATCATAGTCATCATAAAGCCACCAAGTGCACTGAATACATCATACATCATCATATAATGCACATACCTTGTCGTACATTATCATAGTGAAGGGAATGAACTCTTCATCCACATAGCGGAAGCATTGGAAAAGTCCCGAAATCAGTACTTAAAGAGAACTCCCTGTTTTATCAAATCCTCAAAATAGTAAGCATATTGAATCGGCTAGAAGAGTTATTCTTACCCATGTAAATTAAAGGACAAGCCCTTATAGGCACGAGTTCGTAACTCACTCAGGATGAAGATTGAGTTGCATATGATCATCACGTGAAATATTAATCTTCTTAATTAACGGATTTATGAAGGGAGAATAAATATTTCTTGGTTCAGTCTTATACATACTCATTGTATAGGAGACCCCACTTACATGTCTCTATAAATGATTTGTAACGATTACAAAGTGGGTCGTATCAATAGTGTTACCAGGACAAGGCATCCAACCTTATCCATATACTATAGACTCTTTTGGTTATTACTTGAACACAATCCTCTTGTATGTCAACCACATACGGTTCAAGATTACATTATTAACCTTGAATTTTCATACAATAGACTAGGTTGCATTTGTTATCAAATAATCATCAATCAATTTGATAAAATATTAACAATATTCTTTAGACTTTGCATTCATCTTGTGTGCATGAGCCCAAAATTCTCTTTGGTCTCGTAGCCCTATTCAATAAAAGCCCAATGATTATCTTGCATGAAAATCAAGATCCATAGATATGTAATGTAATTACTCAAAGGTTTCAGAAAATTACTTTTTACTAGTCTTTTTATTTTATTCAATTTGACTTTAATTAAATGAACGGCTAAAGACAAGTATCATCCTTTTTGGATAAAACAATTTGTCTTTTTATTTCGTAGTATGGTGAGTGTTAACATTTTAACACATAATAATTATACTTAATTTAAGCGGAACATATTTTCAAACAATTTTTAAAATATAAACTTTAATAGTTCAAAATATGTACTAGTTTGAGAAATTGAATTTCTTATGGTTAGTAACAATTTTTACTTAATATCTTAATGTCTTCCACTACACGAGATTGATTTTCTAGTGTCAACTAGTAGAATCTGTTCTACCTCATCAAGTATTTTACAAGAATTACACGTAAATGTAATGAAGAAAAAAATCTTGATAGTAGATCTTATATCAACTGTACAGGTAGTGTCACTTATATCCTCGCTAGTTAGGAACTATTTCCTATCGTAGCTTTAGTCATAAGATTTTTCTTGAATTTGATAATACTTAATTTCGTGATTTAGAACAAGTGCAGCCGTAGGGTAGGTCAAATGTTCCTTCACTGAACTGAGACAATCTCAACCAAACATTATACCATTATAACTCTTATTCCTATGATATTAGTTACCATTAGTTCGGTCAAAAACATCATTAACAATCTTAATGATCTCTTCGTAAATGTAACACATCATTTTAGATCTTGTAATTTTATACCAACAAGTGCCGCCATAGGGCAGATCAAGTATTGGAAATAAAATTACTATATCTTATCTTTCTCAAGAGTTCACCCTGATATTAACCCATGCAAACACCTTCCGTAAGGGGATGGTCCAAAAGCTGCCACGAGGCCTTGCACAAATCTCACATTATGAACCAATGATGGAGACCATAGGATATGTTGACACATTTCCTTCTCCCATTTACTATAAATACTTTCTCAAGAGATTCACCATGACTCATGCAAACACCTTCCGTAGGAAATGGTCCAAAAGCAGTCACGAGGCCCCACATGAATCTCACGATGTGAATCAATAATAGAGAACGTAAGTTATCCTGACATGTGTCCTTAATATCTTGATATCTTCACAGATGTCCTTCTCCATGTATTTTGAAATAGGGTTTTCTATTACTCAGACAAATTAGGCTAATCTCATTTATCTAAGTTTCCAATCTACTTGGGTTGAATTGTTTTAACATGAATTACCAAGTTTTTAAACTATTCAAAAACTAATCAGATTACGAGCCTGCTTAATCAAATTAAATAAAATTGGACTAATTCAACTCTTAGGTCATTTCCGAGTTCTTAGGTAGGGGTGGTCCAATTATGTCAGTTTAAATACCTGTCTACTCAAAATCTTCCTTGGATAGAGTTCTATTATAGTCTGATTTTTATTTTAAATTCATTAATCTTTAATTAACTATTAATTACTAGATTAATAAACCTACCTTAATTAAACGGTTTTTAATTCTATTATAAACTAATTTACTTATTAATAATCTTAAAACTATAGCATTTTAAACCTTTTAAAATCAAATTTAATAGATTACTCGACCAA